GGGGGTCGTGCTTTCTCCGACCACGTACTCGACACGACTTTCACCCTGGCTGGAGGGCAGTGGAGAGAGGAAGGGAGGATGGGAGGAAAGCGAAAAATCTACCGTCATATCATGATTGTGTCCCTTCTACACTATATGAAACACCATTGTGTTGCATACGCGTCACTTCCACGAGGTGTTGGTGTCACAGGAGGAAGGGACCATAGCGGAGGATAGAAAGCTTGCGCAGGAAAGGAAGGTCCCGGCGGTTGACGGGGGACTAATCTGGTCCAGAATAGTACCAACTGATTTCAATATCCAAGTAAACAAACAGCAGTAGCAAGCCTCGGAAGCACTTCAAATTTATTTCAACACCTCTGAGCCCTAATTCTATGACATACTTAAAATGAAGAGCAAATAAATTGACCAAAACATACAGCAGAGCACAATGTTTATTCCAGCACTGTAACAAAAACAAAAACTGGCACTGTGAAAGGCCTCCACGCAAACCGGTTAACTAGGTAACAAAAATTCAAATCCGACAAATGTTTATAGAAATTTGATATCACTAGTAATTCTGATAATATAAATCTTACACCGACCCATTGATAATGAAACCCATATACGAATGAAGTAAGGCGAAGACCTTTAAATTAGTTAGCAAAACAAGAAAACTGTTTTAGTAACATCCTACTAGATGAGGAGCACATAATCAAGTTTGTGCTAACAGGCAGGTTCTCGTTACGGTCCATTCGCATTTGCGCAACAGGGTAGTAAACGTTCATCGATAACTTGGCAATGAGCACGAGTATTTGGAAAGATAGCAAAGAAATGTGGCAAGTTTTACAAATGACCTCAACAGCTCAAACATAGCTGGAATTCTGACCAGATACAAAATTGATACTGGATTTCGACTAGCATCGCCACCGTAAAAACCTGCTCCTTGAGAAAGATCACAACAAGCACCTGCCTGTAAGCTAACCTCAACCACGAATTATAAAGTAATCGCTATTATCGGCAATGTAGGCAACTAACCGCAGATATGTTCTATTCGTAGACTTATTGTACACTATATCATATATCATATTGTATTTGATGCATGCAAAGGTGTAACCTTTTTTGACTTTTCTCGTGCATACTTGCTTCTGTTTTTGCAAGTTCTAAACTTAGTGTTGAGGCAGCAATTTGAAATAATACTACATTTTTGAAATGCTGTTGAACGAAAGGGGTGAAGGCCAATGACTGGAATTTCTTTTTAATAGAGATATATTTCAAAGGACGGAAGCTAGCACGTTTTGCATGCAACCATCTAAAGAAAGAATAGATTACTATGAGGACGTCAAGAGCTACCACAGTTCCCAAAGGTGGTTTATTGGGAATCTCTCGAAGCATCGAAAGCGTATGATTCAACGGAATTGTCATCTGTATGGATCCATCCGAATACAACAAGAAGTCTCGTATTCGACGGCTAAAAAGAAAAAAAATTCTGAGTGAATATTACTCAGAATAGCTCAAATCTGAAAGCTAAACAATAACAACAAGGAGGAGTTCCGAAAGTAGAGCTTAAAATTGAAAGTTGAAGTGACGAGATCTTTAGTCAGAAGAGAGAGTACGTGAATTCACCGTTCAATTTCAACATGCCTTTTGCTGCTTAACAATTTCTGTCTACGAGTTCCGTGCCGGGTTTTGGATTCCATAGCAACTATTGATCAAAATCCTTTCCCGAAAAAACCAAAAAAAACAGTCATAAAAAGACAACATACCCGCTAGCACCCGTGATATAACCAGCAGGTATACCCGCTTGTCGTTCCGTTGAATCAGTCACCATATCCACAAACTCGTCGCCTCCTTTAAAAGAAAGAGATGTGTATTCTGGACATTCGTACAATCCGGATAGAAAAGGAATAGAGTCAAGAAAGCATCATACCTGAGTGGGAGTCTGTTACGAGTGCTATCAGTGCCCCGGCGTTTTCTGCGTTTATTATTTTCTCTACGAACGAACATTCACTAGAAAAAGTAACAGCCTTCGATGCATTTCGAATTGAAAGAAGAAAACTAGCACAATCCATCACGGCGTCAAAATGTTACTCTAATATGGAACACAATCGAGAATTTTTGAAGCGCGTTTATTCTACGTTACTGGCAGATGGACTGGCAACAAATAACTTCGAATGCCACATGAAAGGCTCAAGGAATCAAATTCTACAACGAACGACCGAAGGTGCCCAAACCGCCCGTATATCGAGGGTCGATTATTTGAGGGGTACGAGGCTCGTTTGGGAGGGTGAGAAGCCCGTAGATCGGATGGCCCATCATTGTAAATCATTGTTTACGCCAAGGATAAAGAAAGCGTGGTGCATTCATGCAAGGGACTGATCATCGCCAAATGCTTTACACTTTCGCTCTTTCACCGGAACTAGGAAAAAGATAAGGAATAAAAAAGCACAAGTGAAAACAGCCGACATAAGAGAAATAAGCGAATTCACGCAATGTTTTCAAAGTATTTCTCCGAATGAGATAAAAATTCTCCCTGAATAGGTTTACCAGATACAATCTACGCTAGACCAGCAAAAGCACAGGGAGCGTAGACCACATACACTGGTCATGAAAGCATCTTAGCAAACCGCAACGACTTAGGAAGCTAACCGTATAGAATTTCAACTGCATATTTGTAGCTATTTTCGTCAAGAAATGTGTGATGCGACGGAAAAGAATCCACATTTACACCTTCACCTCACCCAAAACATTGGCACTTTTTGAATTACTCTGAGGCACTCATTATTAATCAATTTCTCTGTTTCAATTAATACATCTAGAATACACCAATAACATATACCCCAAAATTCGAAGAGATAAGGCACACACATTTTAAGATAAATATAATATCATACAGTGGTAGTAACAACAAACCCTCTCTCCAGCAGAACAACTTCATTAGGACCGAGATTGTTTTTCAAAGGCTCGCAGCCATGAGCGGGATACGCGTATACGAGTGAAGCCTTCTAGAAGAGTGATTAGGCAAACATTTGCAATAGTACACTATCGAAACAATCTAGACGAAATTCTTCAAAATGACAGAAAGTATTTTATCTGAGAGAAAAAAGGATTCTGCCCTTAACGTGTCCCCTGTCATTGTGTTTTTCGGGACTGTAAGCAACACTCCCCAGTCGTGGATGATTCCTCTCCCTGACAGTGGTCGGTAAGTGTTGCAAGGACCTGACACTGGCTCTTACGATTCGACAAAACAATAAAGAGATGGGATCTAAAATGAAAAATTCGTTTTCATTCCATTTTCAATTAACTGCGGAGAGGGTGGAAAGGGGAGGGGACAAACATTTGAAGCGGCTCAATTCTGTACAAAACAGCTACGTCACAAAGTTCCAGAGCCGCGTTTCCACATGTTTATATAAACGCTAGAAAGTGGAAATGATAAGCGTCCCACTGATTGCCCTATTGATGAAAGTACTCTGTTGATGGTGATTTCGTTGCTTTCCGCCGTAATCCATACAAATGTTGAGACGATAAGTCACAGCTGTCCAATAAACATAGACGTACCTTGTAAGAGTATTTCGGGAACGGAACTCCGACACTGTGAGAAGGCTGCATTTGGTAGGTGTAGGCAAGTTGTCTAGGGTGATCAATGTGGAAAAAGAGGACATCCTGCGCTAGAACAGTGAGGTAATATAGTTAGATCGTCTATCAATAACACTTAAAAATAGGATAAAAAAACATCATAAAAACACAATGACTGATTGCGCACGGTGACTCGACCATAGCAGCCACATTAGAGTGATAATGGCGGAAAGGAATCAAACGAGTTAAAGGCAGATTTTACGATGAAAAGGTAGCTCATTGGAAATAAGGGTAGAAGTAGCTAGTGGAGCAGGGATGAGAAGGTCCTGCTCAGCAACCACAGCACCTTTCGCCGTGGGAGGACCACACATCGCTTCCTTGGCAGCCAAGTAATTGCTCCGTGTGGCGCAGGTTCTCCCCCGATGCGAAAATTCCTTATCGTAATCGCTTCCTTTAGAAGGACTTAACGAAGTTATGCCACCCGCAAAAGATGTAATGACGGAAAATGGCGGTGACTGAAAGGCTAGGACTGCGCGGGATTAAGGCTAGGGAGAAGCAGTGACTCTGGGGTTGATGGTTGATGGGTATGTGACTGCCCACATTTCCGACATTGGGTCAGAACTTAGGATCTGGATTAAAGTTGTCGAGAGAAGCAGTTTGATCCGCTCAGCATGAATATCACCCCTGATTGCCACGAAAGTGCGCTGTGCGCTAGGGGTATCACGGGCAGTCATTTACAAATAGCGCGCAGTTGAAGCTCCTCGCTATCTCTCTTTACACTTGTAGTATAGGCACATGCTCAGATTCACCATGAGATCGAGCTCTACAACCTAAAGCAATTCTTCGAAGAAAAGAAAATTTGAGAAACTGCCAAGAAGTCATCGATCACGGATTTACCCGCTGGCCCGAGCTTATACAGTATTACGTTGCGTTCTGATCACTTCATTAACTACGCAGGAAATTGTACTCTAATCTGGAACACGAAAACAGCAAAGTCAGGCTCAGCTTGGACATCACAAACGGATGTGATAAGGACAAAGAAGAGCACAGTTTCATTATACTAGTGACTTCGTTGCAGGTGTTGCAGGCAGCGGTCTATCCAGTTGTCTCTCGCTACTTCGGTAATGGTCCCCTTTGTTTCTCTCCTTGCTGAAATCAGCAACTGCTCCGCACGAAAACATGGTTCGCCAATTTCAAGACGATTTTCAACACTGCAAAAATTACACTATGCAAGTGATGAAGGAGGGCGAGCGGATTGCGGTGGCCGGATCTCTTCTTTGGGTTGTTATTCTGTGCAAGCCCACAACGAGTCAATGGGGTAATAAATCAGAGTCTCTCGTTACATACTCGACGCAGATATCTTCTCAACTAGGAAATGTAGAAGAAAGCTAAGAAGACCATCAGAAAGCGCAAACCTTTCGCTTTCCAAAACTATCTTCCCTTTTTCAGGATCTTACGACATTAGAGAGATATTGCTTTTGAAGTGGCAAAAACTAGCATGAAAATTTCAGCGTCCTCGACGTTTACTCGACGAAATTTGAGAGACCCTATCTTTCTGCATGGAAGGCTTTCAGAGCAATTTCAATACTTCTTGGAAACGCGAAATCCAGCTCTATCTAACCCTACCTCAAACTGCTTCAAAGGTTATGAAATGGAGGAATGCAACCTTTTCATCGAGGGTGTAGATTTCGACGGTTTTTTTTCGGGATTTCAGCAAATCTGACCCAGTGACAATCGCGCCGCAGCTGCCGTTGAATCGGCCGTTGATTGATACACTCGGCTGTTTCGATATACTCAAGCAACCCCGTGCCTTCAGGATTTCTGTGCATTTCTGAACGAACCTGACTTTGAGGTCACACAAAGTTAATGCCTCTTTCCTCGAGTCGATATTTCAGTAAATACACAAAAGTGTGCAGCGATGAAAGACAGTGCATAGATGACAAGATGAGGCGTCCATAACATTATTTTGCAGGATTTTTTTGATTTATTAATTGAATTAATTTGCTCTGTTTTAGGGGTCGTGCTTCTCGACCAGCGTATCGACACGACTTTCACCCTGGCTGGAGGGCAGGGCGAGGGGGAGAAGAGAGGATGACGAGGAAAGGCGGAAAATCTACCGTCACGACATGGTTATGGCGATTCCCTCCACTATATGAACTCGTTTTTGCTGCATGCGCGTCACCTCCACGAGGTGTTGGTGTCACAGGTGGGAAGGAACCACAACGGAAGACGTAAAGTTTATGCAGGGAAAGGAAGGTCCCGGCGGTTGACGGTGGACCAATCTGGTCCAGAATAGATACCAACTGATTTCAATATCCAAGTAAACAAACAGCAGTAGCAAGCCTCGGAAGCACTTCAAATTTATTTCAACACCTCTGAGCCCTAATTCTATGACATACTTAAAATGAAGAGCAAATAAATTGACCAAAACATACAGCAGAGCACAATGTTTATTCCAGCACTGTAACAAAAACAAAAACTGGCACTGTGAAAGGCCTCCACGCAAACGGTTTAACTAGGTAACAAAAATTCAAATCCGACAAATGTTTATAGAAATTTGATGATCACTAGTAATTCTGATAATATAAATCTTACACCGACCCATTGATAATGAAACCCATACGAATGAAGTAAGGCGACGACCTTTAAATTAGTTAGCAGAACAAGAAAACTGTTTTAGTAACAGTTCCTACTAGATGAGGAGCACATAATCAAGTTTGTGCTAACAGGCAGCTTCTGCGCGGTCCATTCGCTTCGCGCAACAGAGGTAGGTAAACGTCTCATCGATAGTAGCTGGCAATGGCACGAGTATTTGGAATAAGATAGCAAAAAGAAATGTGGCAAGTTTACAATGACCCTCGAATCACGTTTAAATAGTTGAGAATTTCGACCAATTGATACTGGATTTCGACTAGCATCGCCACCGTAAAAACCTGCTCCTTGAGAAAGATCACAACAAGCACCTGCCTGTAAGCTAACCCTCAACCACGAATTATAAGTAATCGCTATTATCGGCAATGTAGGCAACTAACCGCAGATATGTTCTATTCGTAGACTTATTGTACACTATATCATATATCATATTGTATTTGATGCATGCAAAGGTGTGTAACCTTTTTGACTTTTCTCGTGCATACTTGCTTCTGTTTTTGCAAGTTCTAAACTTAGTGGAGGCAGCAATTTGAAATAATACTACATTTTTTGAAATGCTGTTGAACGAAAACTGTTGGAGATCAATGACTGAAAAAATTTTTTAGATGGAGATATATTCCAAAGGACGGAAGCTAGCACGTTTGCATGCAACCATCTAAAGAAAGAATAGATTACTATGAGGACGTCAAGAGCTACCACAGTTCCCAAGGTGGTTTATTGGGAATCTCTCGAAGCATCGAAAGCGTATGATTCAACGGAATTGTCATCTGTATGGATCCATCCGAATACAACAAGAAGTCTCGTATTCGACGGCTAAAAAGAAAAAAATCTGAGTGAATATTACTCAGAATAGTTCAATTCTAAAAGCTAAACAATAACAACAAGGAGGAGTTTCGAAAATAGAGCGGAAAATTGAAAGTTGAAGTGACGAGGTCTTTAGTCAGAGGAGAGAGTACTAAATTCACCTTTATTCCAACATTGCAAAATTCTGGTTACGACTTCCGTGCCGGGTTTTGGATTCCATAGCAGCTATTGATCAAAATCCTTTCCCGAAAAACCAAAAAAAAAACAGTCATAAAAAGACAACATACCCGCTAGCACCCGTGATATAACCAGCAGGTATACCCGCTTGTCGTTCCGTTGAATCAGTCACCATATCCACGAACTCGTCGCCTCCTTTGAAAGAAAGAGATGTGTATTCTGGACATTCGTACAATCTGGATAGAGAAGGAAATAGAGTCAAGAAAGCATCATACCTGAGTGGGAGTCTGTTACGAGTGCTATCAGTGCCCCGGCGTTTTCTGCGTTTATTATTTTCTCTACGAACGAACATTCACTAGAAAAAGTAAAGATGGAATTCTTGAATGAAAGAAAGAACTACAGCACAACCATCACTGATCAAAATGCTTTATATATACAACCACATCGAGATTTTTGAAGGCGTGTTTATGTGTACTGGCGTAAGATCAAATTCTACAACGAACGACCGAAGGTGCCCAAACCGCCCGTATATCGAGGGTCGATTATTTAGGGGTACGAGGCTCGTTTGGGAGGGTGAGAAGCCCGTAGATCGGATGGCCCATCATAGTAAATCATTGTTTACGCCAAGGATAAAGAAAGCGTGGTGCATTCATGCAAGGGACTGATCATCGCCAAATGCTTTACACTTTCGCTCTTTCACCGGAACTAGGAAAAAGATAGGGAATAAAAAAGCACAAGTGAAAACAGCCGACATAAGAGAAATAAGCGAATTCACGCAATGTTTTCAAAGTATTTCTCCGAATGAGATAAAAATTCTCCCTGAATAGGTTTACCAGATACAATCTACGCTAGACCAGCAAAAGCAACAGGGAGCGTAGACCACATACACTGGTCATGAAAAAATCTTAGTAAACCGCAACGACTTAGGAAGCTAACCGTATAGAATTCCAACTGCATATTTGTAGCTATTTTCGTCAAGAAATGTGTGGTGCGACGGAAAAGAATCCACATTTACACCTTCACCTCACCCAAAACATTGGCACTTTTTGAATTACTCTGAGGGACTCATTATTAATCAATTTCTCTGTTTCAATTGATAAATCTAGAATACACCAATAACATATACCCCAAAATTCGAAGAGATAAGGCACACACATTTTAAGATAAATATAATACCATACAGTGGTAGTAACAACAAACCCTCTCTCCAGCAGAACAACTTCATTAGGACCGAGATTGTTTTTCAAAGGCTCGCAGCCATGAGCGGGATACGCGTATACGAGTGAAGCCTTCTAGAAGAGTGATTAGGCAAACATTTGAAATAGTACATTATCGAAACAACCTAGAAGAAATTCTCCGAAATTCAATTCTTCAAAAGATTCTGCCCTTAACATGTCCCCTGTCAATGTGTTTTTCGGGACTGTAAGCAACACTCCCCAGTCGTGGATGATTCCTCTCCTTGACAGTGGGTTTACGGACTACTTGATTTTTCCTCAATGGTCCTGCCGCGATGGCTAGAGCACAGACGATTAGAGAACGGGTGAATGCCCTAGGACTAAGCCTTGGAGAGGAGAGGGACCCGCGAGAGAGCGCAGAGGCGGTTTAAAGGGCTGAGTTCAAGTAGTCCGTCGACCCTGACAGTGGTCGGTAAGTGTTGCAAAGTCTGGCTCTTGCGATTCGACAAAACAACAAAGAGGCGGAATCTGAGTTGAGGATTTCGTTTTCACCATTTTCAATAATTGCGGAGGGGAGTGGGGAGTAGGAGGGGACAAACATTTGAAACGGCTCAATTCTGCTCAGAACGGCTACGTCACAAAGATCGTGAGTCGCTCCCCCATGTTTATATGAACGCTAGAAAGGAAGTGGAAATGATAAGCACCCCACTGATTGTCCTATTGATGAAAGTACTCTGTTGATGGTGATTTCGTTGCTTTCCGCCGTAATCCAAACAAATGTTGAGACGATAAGTCACAGTCCAATAAACATAGACGTACCTTGTAAGAGTATTTCGGGAACGGAACTCCGACACTGTGAGAAGGCTGCATTTGGTAGGTGTAGGCAAGTTGTCTAGGGTGATCAATGTGGAAAAAGAGGACATCCTGCGCTAGAACAGTGAGGTAATATAGTTAGATCGTCTATCAATAACACTTAAGAATAGGATAAAAAAACATCATAAAAACACAGTGACTGATTGCGCACGGTGACTCGACCATAGCAGCCACATTAGAGCATAGGCAGAAAGGAATCAAACGAGTTAAAGGCAGATTTTACGATGAAAAGGTAGCTCATTGGAAATAAGGGTAGAGGTGGTCAGTGGAGCAGGGATGAAGAAGAAACCATTTGAAACGGCCCGAAACCCGAGAAATGGGACCCTTCCTTGCCCGTTGATTTGCGCATTGATGCGACTCTCATCGCTGTGCCCTCTTCAACACTACGCTCTCTCTGCTATCTAATCACTCGCCACGTATAGACCTGCGGCGAGTGATTAGATAGTCGGTGGGCGTACCCCGCCAACCGCGCCAAGAGTGAGCCATGCTAGATCGCCGAGGTCAAATCTTTCGCTGCCAATTGCGCGTCGGTCAGCACCCTCAGGAGGTCCGCCTGTCTCCCAACTATGCAATTTTCCCTTCTTTGACCTTCGTTCTTACCGTTGAATCGGTCCTATCCTTTAAGCATTCTGTAGCTTTGCTCAACTGAGCAAAGCTATGGAATGCTTAACTCGTTAGATTCGATTGCCTATTTTCGCTTCACAGTCCATTCCAGTGGTCCACAATAGCCACTTGCAAATATTACGGAAGGATCTTTTTTATTCCACTCCTCGATCACTCGCAAAACCTACTCGCTTTCCTTTCATCAAAGTTTTGAGTGACTCTAAGAAAGAATATAGACGCGCTAAAAAACGTCCACTTTGAGTCAGGATTCCCATTTTTATTCACTATTTTGGTCAGAATTGGGGGAAGAAGACCCATGTATTCCGGGAAAGGGAGTTTCACATTTGTATGTTAATGCAAGAAAAGGTCTAAAAACGATCCAATATGCGAAACTAGCGAGTCGCACCAAGTTTACAACCCTTATCCCCTTCCATCCCCATTCCCTTCTTCGAGCAGGAGCACCAAAGGCAAGCCAATGAATGAGAATTTCCAATCAAACACATGGGAGGGAAATGAGCTCCGGATCACTTCTCGTCGAATGTGGACACTCTATCTTCAAAAATACTCGTTCCTGGACTAGGAAACTAATTCTTTGCACCAACCCTTGTTACAGGCCCGATACCAATTTTTGCACCGTCTGCTATTGAACACCGTATAACAACAAGAAATTGAATAGATGGAACAGGAATGAAGTTCGTTGCACTTCCCACTTCGATGGCTATTTGGGCAAAATTAGGATTTCCAATGTCCCATAAACTACTGTACCAAAAGGCGAATAACTGACCAGGATAAAAAAAAAGATTACGCACCTGCTAATATTTGCCTCAAAAGCACTACAATGAGGAGAAGACGTTGCATTCCATTTGAAAGCCTTCGTTCTGAACTAGAATAATGTAAACTTGAATGAACAACTCACACTGCTGAGAAATGGCAAAAGTTACGCAGCATTCGCGAACCTAGGTATTGCAATAGAGCGCGGAAACTCTATTGTAGCAGTTTTGCGACTAGATGTACCCACAAGTCAAATTCATGAGAGAGCAGCCTAATTGGGGAACTGAAACATCGATCACAGTTAAGTGCAACCGAAATGTGCGAAAACAAGACATTATTGAAGCTACGCTTAATATGCTGCGTGTGATGAATGTCTAGCTTGGATTTTTTCAGGAAGCAAAAAGAATGAATATAGTCCACGATTCACGTCTAGGTACGGAGGTGTGAAAAAAAGCAATTTGTGTACACCCGCATCGGAGGATTCTACAGTCCACATCTCGAAGTCTCATGGGCGTGTCAGCGTGGCGGAAATGACGTGGAAGCCACCGCACTTGATAGAAGTTGCGCGGATAAAATACTGCGCCAGTCAGCAAAGCGTATTGGAAGCAGCAGCAGCAAGCGCACAACTTCTATCAAGTGCGGTGGCTTCCACGTCATTTCCGATGACACGCCCAATCATACTTCGAGAAATCGACAGTATTTTACGCTGACGCTGCGGTA